TTGTAGATACTCCAGAGAAGGTTCGCTTCGATTAATGACCTGTCTACTTGAGATTCGACACTCGATTTTGACGTCCGTGAGTGACAGTACTCTTTGTATATGTGTTTGCATCATGATTTCCTGTTAGTCCTCTGTATTCGAATTCTGAACACTGTTATTATTTTCGGTACTTGTATCTATATTGTTTTAGAGTCTAATAAGCTTGAAATTATATCTGTAATTACACGTGTATATCTGCCTCAGTGTTATATGTCTTTTGTTTTGTATATCTGTCATGAATGTGTGTGTTGATTCTAATTATGTATGAGATTTCTGGTTTTTCCGGTTTCTGACTCTGGCTCTGTTCAGGGGTGCCAGGACTCGGCCATCGGACGGTCGGCCACCGTATGTGCGAAGAGTTCCTTGAGTCCAGACGGTTGGCCACCGTGGCATGTGGGGAGTGCCTTGGGCCCAATAAGGACTCTGATTCTAATCTGGCTCTGGCTCTAGCACGGGATCCAGTGCGACATCTGTATTCAGTGACTCTGATTCTGATTCTGGGACGCCAGAGCCTCTGCCGTCGGGCACTGGCCACTGTCGCACGGAAGCGCCTGGGTCCATCTGTGACTCTGATTCTGTTCGGGATACTAGGAATTCAGCCGGTGGATGGTAGGCCCCTGTACTGTGCGGGGAGTGCCCTGAGTCCGGACGGTGGGCCGCCGTAGCGTACGGAGAGTGTCCTGTATCCACAGTGGCTCTGATTCTGATATGTGTTTATCTGTTATGTGTTATGTTCTGATAACTGATTTAATTCTGATTTTCTGGTTATGACTATGCATATGAAACTACATGTATTAAGTTAAAAAATGTGAATTTTGCAAACCGTGCTATTACTTGTGTGATACGTATGTTTTGAATGATCTGAGTTTCTGTCATGGTGTGCCTAGTTAGTACTGTCATTCGCTGAGTTAATACTCATCTCTTTTTCCTCCCCACCTTTCATATTTTAGTTTTGATCAGCAGTGGTAGTTCCTGTCATCGCTGCATCGACCTGATTGTATGGGCACTTTCTGTATACTTACCTTTTTTGTACTCTACACGCTTCGTAACAGTCAATATGTTTTGTTATGTATATATATATGGAGACAGTTTTCTGATGATAGCGTTATTGCTTCGTTCTAGTCTGAGGCTTACTAGGGTTGGTTCACCAATCCTAGTGCCGGTCACGCGCCCAGATTGGGGCGTGACAGTATTATTTTCTATTGAATTTCAGATTATCTATTAGATCCAGTTATAGTTTAACAGTCATAAATTGTTAGAAGATCTCGAATCAGATGAGGATACAAAAATGGATATTTAGATTCGGAATCAAATTTACCTTATTTGATTCAAATTCAATCCATTTACAATCGTAAAAAAACGTTATATTTCCAACATTTTTTTTATAGAGAAAACTTTACTGAATTTTTTAGAGAGTTACATACTTAAATTGTTTAATAATGACTCCATCAAGCTAATTAGGGTGGACATATCCACACTAGTACCATTCTCGTACCATCGAGTTTGGGATTAACAAATATAGTTACATATGTATATACTTATTTAGATTAAAATTGTTTGTTAGGATAATTATTCGTTTTTGTAACAGTTTAAATATTTTTTTTTGATATATTAAAAATTTAAATTAATCAAAAATCTAAATTAAAAGAAAGAGATGAGCTCAAAAGTCAAACTTATAACTTCTAAATAAATCACACACGAAAGGGATAAACTCAAGAGTGAAGTTATAACCTTTAAATAAATCTCACGGTCATTATATTAAGCTTGTAATTTTGGGTTTAAACCAGAAAATAGAATACAACGGGCAGAAGGAATCAGCCTTTGGATTTGCGACGATCATGGAGGATCAAACGATTATGAATATTGTCTATACTTATTGGCACGTTCAATGAAGTTTATGTCCTTCAATTCCCATCTTGTCAATCTTTCTCCGGTCGTTCGGAGGACCCAGGTCGGGCCTTTGCTTTGACCTCCTGCTAGAAAAACACGCTAACACTATTAAGAAACCATCCAAAATACGCAAATTATTAAACTGGATTGAACTATTTTCCATATGATAATAGAAGAACATTGTAGGGTACAACCTTAAGGGAGAGGCACGGTGAGGTATATTAATGAATTGAATTTAATATAAATTTGATTTAAATTTTAGAATTTGAATCTGATTAAAATATTTAATTAATTAAATTTGATTATAAAGAATCATAATTTGAAATAAAAGAATTAAATATAAAATTAATTAATATGATTTATTAATAAACCAAAATTTAATAATATTTTTTATTAAAATAATAATTATATATATAATATTAATAAGTTTAAAATAGTAGGGATTAAATTAAGAAAATCAAAAAATTAAAGGACTAATATAATTGATGAAATAGAGTTGATGGACTCAAATACAATAGAATATTATTTTCTTGTTGAATCGGAATTTTTTAGGAAATTTTATATTATTGTCAAACTTGACCTTAGGCCTATGATCGGTACTAAAGCCTACTAACTCTAATAAGCATTATAATACCAAATCATATAAAAAAGAACTCATCATCAATAAATGTAAACTGTCATGCAACATCCAATAAATAAGACAATCCCAGGAATGCCAAAAGAAAATTACACTACTTGATAAATTTTTTGAAGATTAATAGAGTATTGATTGATTTGCACTTTGTACTCTAAAATTTTAAATTTGGTCCCAGAACCTTCTAAAATTTTAAATTTGGCTCAAGAATCTTTCAAAAATTATAAAAAGTGTACCATATTGTTGATTGCTCATTAAAATAAAGGAAAATTTAGAATTCATGCAAATGAAGAGTAAAAAGATTATAAAAGACTTAAAATCTTCATTTTTTTGTTATTTTTATTTTATTTTAATAAACTTCTACTCAATTTATATACACATCAATTGCATGTAAAAGATTAAAAAACTTGGTATTATTTAAAATTTTAGAATTAAAAATAAAGTTTTGATAAAAAATATAAAAAAATATTTGAAGTGACTATTTTAATTCTTGATTTAAAAACTAAATATTTTAATTTGTTACAAATTAGAACTAATAATTATTTCTATATAAAATACTACACAAATTAAGAATTATAATAGTTACTTCAAAATTAATGTTTCTGATTAGAATCTAAATCAAGTAAACTAACTTCTTTAAATATACATGGATCATAAATTTTCTACATATTCAAAATTTTAAAACTAAAAATAAAGTTTTGAAAAAAATATAAAAAAATATTTGAAGTGCTTATTTTAGTTCTTAATTTAAAAACAAAAAATCTTAATCTTTTATTATTAATAAGTAATAATTATCTCTATATAGAATATTAAACAAATTAAGAATTGCAGTAACTATTTCAAATAATTATTTTTGTATAAAATATTTTGAATATGTTATAAATTAAGCAGTAATAATTATTTATGCACAGAATATTAAACAAATTAAGAATTACAATAGATACTTCAAATAATTATTTTTATATAAAATATTTAGACAAAATAAGAACTAAAATAGCCATTTTAAATTTTTTAATATATTTTTATCAAAACTTTATTTTTAGTTTTAAAATTTTAAACAGTACCAAAATTTTTAATGTTTTGTGTGCCATTAATATGTGTATAAATTGAGTGCAACTTTATTAAATAGAGTGAAAATAACAAAAAAATGAAGGGTTCATGTTCTTTATAAACTTTTTACTCTTTATTTACATGAAATTATAAATTGACTCTTAGTTTTAATGAGCAATCAAATATATGTTGTACTTTTTGTAAATTTGGAAGGTTTTGAGGTTAAATTTAAAATTTTAAGATGCAAAGTGCTAAAAACCTCTATTTTTGGTGTAAAGTTTCAAATTTAAAATTTTGAAAGGTAAAGTGCCAAGACTCTCTATTTTGAAGTGAAAAATGCAAATTAGTCCAAGTACTATAGTACAAATTCAGCCCAACTAAAAGAAGGATATCTTTGTAATAATCCCTTCTAATCTAACAATTAAGGAAGGCAAAATGTTCCTTAAAACATGTGACCTACCACCATCTATAGGATACCACAAGCACAGTAAACGCCAATTACTACTCTCTATGTATAATGAAAAAACCCTACTAATTTAAGCGTTAGGCTTTGTTTGGAGATTCCCTCCTGTGGGTTTCCAGTGACTACTTTTATCTTGCAGACACATGGAAGGACAAAAACATTTATATAATTAATTTCATGTCCAATTTTATCTAAGAATACACAGAAATTAGAAATTTATGCTTTAGCATTTGAAGTTCTGATTGAAACTTCGGACCAAGCCTCTCTGTCGTATTCATTTCCTTATCAAATCAGATTGTATAACTCCTGATAAGAACAGTTATAAAGCGAAATGAAGTAATAAAGATTTAATTTATGTTAATCTCATGTGATTCAACTGCATAGATGACATGCCACTTTATTTGATAAATGACTTGGTATATTTAATATTGGTAAACCACGTGGAAGGCATGCATGGAGACAAGAAGAAATCAAGTCTAGTGCTATTCCTAAAATATAAGAAGTTGTCTCAGCCACATAAATTATTTTAACAATAAAATACATTATCTTACAAAGCCTTCCCATTGATGGCTTTTTTTTTTTTTTTTTTTTTTTGGGTGACAAGAGGATAGGCCAAACAGAAAGAACAGAAATTATAAAAGAGTATCTGAAAAGTAAAATTTTTATAGCATCATTTAGTAAAAGATCTCTCAGTTAGTTAGGAAAGGAGATTCATTCCTTCACATAGACTCGTGAAAAAGATCGAGATCAGTCAAAAAAAATCGATACAGGTACTCTTCTGTATGTAAATATATTTGATCTCTACTTGCCTATGATAGGTGATAAACTTGATTCTTACATTCATGACTTTGTTTCTTTTTGTAAAGTTCATATATGTATGGCTCTAATACAACTCTCCTATTACATCACTGGATGATGTACAAATTAAATCTCTATGCAGCAACCTGATTGAACAAAGCCACTGAATTCATGAGGCACATCTAGCATCTTTACTCTACCATTTTGCCCTTCCACCATAAAGAACCCCTGACTTGTACCCGGGAAGGCTGATCCGATCACCAGGGCTCGCCCGCCTCCAAACCCAACTCCAAAAACCCTACTCCAACTGGAAGCTCCGATTGGATCCAACTCGCTAACTTCCCATCCTCTCCAACCCTGCACACGATCTCGGGCACCGACCCGGTTTCCATGCCCCCTCCACCCTCCTCCACTGACCCGTACTCATTTGGTACGACTCGGCACTCGCCTCGAACAAGCCTTGTTTCTCATTCCCATACCCGCTCACAATCCAGAAATCGTCCCCAATTAGTAACCCCTCGCATTCATCTCGCTCCTGACTCATCTGAGTCAACTCGGTCCACTCGTCCTCCCTCACATCGTAGGACCATGCAGACTTCAGAGCGCACTTGTTCTCGTCGTGCCCGCCGGCTATATAAACTCGACCGTGGATGGCTCCAATTCCGAAGAAGGATCTCTTGGATGGCATGTCCTTGCCCTGCCTCCATTTCTGAGCGGTGAAATCGTACACGAACACTTCCCCAACAGGTTCGTAACTGACAGGATCCCAACCGCCCATCACGATTAGCTTCCCTTCCGAGCTGGCCAATCGGCAGAACAGAGGGAGCCCATGTGGGTACTTGGGAACTGGGCTCAGCCTCTCCCAGGAGCGATTCACCGGGTCAAACAGGGTGAGGCCGTAACTCAGGGAGCCGGCGTATTTGGCAGTTTGCGGCTGAACCGGCGGAGGAATCGATTGGAGCAAGCAAGCTATTTTCTGGGTGCGCCCTTTTTGGCTTCGATTATAGTGGAAGTCTGGGCTGTCGAGGAGCTCTCGCCATCTCCGGCAAACCCGGAAAGCAGCTGGGAGAGATGAGTGGTGTGACCGAGTCAAGCATTCGGAACCCAGCTCGTTAGGCAAACCAGGGATCAGTCCATGATAAGGAGAGAGAGAGAGAGGGAGAGAGAGAGAGAGGAGAGCGATGGATATAGCTAACGCCTAAAGGCTCTGGAGGATTTGGAAACAAGAGAGAAATATTTATATACAATCCGTTAAAAGTTAACATGGGGGCATATGGGCTAGGGTGGACCAGATTGTTGTGCAGTGCAAGTTAGAAGTATAAAATGATTCAAGAAATAAAAAAAGTAAAAAAAAATGAAGAAGAGGAAGAGGAAGAATAGGTCAGCATGAATTTTGTAGGCTAGGCATTTTTCTATTCTTTCTGCGATTCGTAGCAACTTGGTGAAAGGGGTAATTAACTTTGACTAGTTTAATTTAATGGGAGGCGACGAGAATTAAAAAAAGCTACGCGACACTGACTCGCGGACGATATAGCTTTGGAGAAGCCACATGAAAGAAAGGAATCAAGTTGGACATTTGCATTATTAGTTGGCTTCCACTTGGGGCGCTGGACCGATTGCTTGCTTTTGGGATCCTAACTGGATAATGCCAAACACTTCCGCTGCTTTTAACTTATATATTTCATATTTCACTGTTTAATTATGTTAAAAGTTCTCAAATGGTTTCGTCTAATTTCTTTACTGTCGAACTTCAACAGTAACAAATTAGTTTTATATGCTGAGTAGAAAAGCAACTTAAGCCAAAATTGCTCCTGTAATATCTACTTATGAATGTTTGCAATATTATTTTATTTTTTATCTAAACATGCTATTGCGTAAGGTTTCAAGCTAGGGGTCGGCAATGCATGGAAACAAGGGAGTTTTATTTGAATCTGGAGTCAAGAATCGAGATCAATCAAATGTGTCGCCACTCAGTTTGTCTCATGCAACTTCGGTCATTTTCTTGCACATGGGTTATATATAGTTTTATTAGATTGAAGGACCACCCAACTAAGAGACAGAGAAGTATCACGGGTTATTACACTTTCTCTAAAAGATTAATTTAGTAAGATGTGTAATGCCCACGCTTATAACCTTAGGACTCTCCCTTTTCTTATTTGATATGGGATTGTTCTCGTGATATTCTCCCCCGTCTAATCCTGTAACGCCCTTGTCACAGATGGGACCCCCTGCCTACCCTACCTCGAGCGTTTAACAAGACATCGGAGTCGGGTCTGAGTCGGCTCTGACACCACTTGTCACAAGTCATTTTCCTCTCTCCAAAAGGTTAACTTAGTAGGGTGTGCAATGCCTATACTTATAAGCTCAGGATTCTCCCTTTTCCTATCTGATGTGGGATTGTCCTCGTGACATTATCCAGAGAGAGAGTGAGGGAACTGAGTGTCACAAAGGCTGAAATCAGTAAAAGAGCTGACGGGCTGTGTCACGCCCCAACCTAGAAGTGTGATTGGCACCATGGTTAGCTTATCAATCCTAGTAAGCCTTCAATCAGAACAGAATAGACAAAGTATCATATCAGAAAGATAGTCAGTGTATAAATCAAAACACATCTGAGTTGTACATTGAACTTTTAGAGTACAAAAAGAAAACATACAGAAAATGCCCGTACATCAAATCAGTACAGTGGTGACGAAATTAGTCGCCGAAGCTACCGTTGTTGACTGAAATTGAAATCTAGAAAATTGGGGAAAAAGGGTGAGTATAAAACTCAATGAATGATAATACCATTCTAGACATGCTGGAACATGAATTGTAAACATTTAAAGCACAAATATCATCTCAAATGATAATATAATTTATGAAAAATCACGTTAGCCTCAAGTAACACATATTTTATACATAACTGTCAAAATCAGAAAGTTAGACACCTACGGAGTATCAAAACGTATCACATATCATATATCGTACCGAGATCCCGTGCTAGAACCAAAATCAAAATTACTGAAAGCACATAGTGCCGAAACCCCATATCACATATCGTACTATGATCCTGTACCAGAACCAGAATCACATAAGGCACATAGTGCCGAAACACCACTGTGTTTCTCAAATCAGATCACATAAAACTCCTGACATGGTAACTTTTAAAAACACACATATCATTGAGGTAGGTACGTAAATAATTATAGAAATATTTCCAAACTTAATGTAATTTAAAATGGATAGATACAAGTCCCGGAATTAAATACCATAATTCAGAAATCAGATCATCGAAACTAACAGAAAACCAAAATGCAAACACATGTACAAAAAGTACTGTCACTCACCGACACGTCAAGACTAATATCCAAAACTCTAATAGATGGCTCACTGGCCAAAGTGCACCTCTTCAGACATATCTACAATCACCAAGTCATAAGTCAGAATCGAAATCGAAACTCTCTTCAAAAGACTTGACTCCCAAAAATGGCTCAGGACCCTCATTGCCTGGGCCTTCACACATATCCCAAGACTCCCGAGACATCCCAATTCAACTCTAATTCATGCCCAAACCAAAACATAACTTTATCCTTAACAAAATTCTTAAACCGAGATGAACCGGTCTCCAAAATTGTTAAACCGATGTAAACCAGCCCAAATACCACACAGACGGACCGAACTAGCCATGAACCCCTCAAAACCAATTGAACCGAACTGAAACCCCATAGAACCCAGCTAAATCGGCCCCTATTTCCCATGAATTAAGCTGAACCGAGCTTAAATCCCCATGAATCGGGGTGAACCAGACTGAACTGGGCTTGGATCCCTTAAACTAGTTTCAAACTACACAAAACCGGATTGAACTGACCAAAACCCCCCACAGAAACACCTTGAACCAGCCCAAATGTCCTTGAACCTGCCCCAAAACCCTAAAATTAGCCGGTTTTATCATTAAATTCCACAAATCTAGGTGAACCAGAATGGTTCACCATGCAACCCTTATCCTAACTTGTTCTCCTCACTTTGCTGGATCGGGAACTAGTCCCACTTCCTCGATCCAAGTTGGCCTACTGCCCGAACAGGCCGATTCTAGCCCAGCTAGGGCGAATTGGCCCAACTAGCTCAAGACAAACCCGGATACCATCTGGGTTTGTCACCTTCACCCGGAAACCTGGGTCACAAACTCGAGTTCCTACAACTCACCCGAACACCTCTAAAACTCAAAATTCTTGGATTTCAAGCATACTTGATCAAATCGAAGCCCACCAGGTAGAATTTCGAAGTCCTTGAACTCAAAAACAAACTTTAATTAGACCAATTTCACTGTGAAAACCCTGATTTTTCCTAGAAATCCCGTCAAGTGCCATCGACTCTTTCTTGCTCCAGTTCTCCCTTTTCACTCAAACTCTCAAATTTCACGCACACAGAGGCTCGGTTCTCCCCCTCACACAAATACCCAAGGTTGGGGAAGTTGGCTTGCTCCTATTGGAGCAAATTTTGCCTCGAGGACCTTCGGTCGGGTTCTAGCTGAAAGTCCTCCCCTTGTCACCATCTGGCCCACACAACTTTCGTTTTATTCAATTAACTCCCCTAAATTTCCAAATTGGTTCCCAAACTTGTTCACCTTCCACTCCGAGGCTCCCCTCTTTAAATTCTCCCAAATGCATCCCAAAATTCCTGAATTTACCCCAAAACTTTTAGTTTTACAAAAATACCCCCAACTTTTTTGATTTGTTCCAACACGCCCTTGAGCCCATTAATATAAAATTCTCCAAAATTATAAAAAGAAAACTAGGATTTGGAGATATCCACTTTTTTCAAACGCCATAAACATATTTTTTAAGAGCCTCGAGGGACCCTAGTTCGTTGTTTGGTAAATTAAATTTGAAAATAGTGAGATTTTTTAAATCCAATTCAGTATATGAGGGTTTCATAAAAATTTACTTTTACTTTTATGAAAGCCCTGTTTTGATGTTGTTTTTAAATTTATTTTGAGATTATTTTTGACTTGAAATTAAGTTGAGAGGTAAGTTTATTTAAATGAGTTTAAATTCCATTTCTCTCAAATTTATTTTAATTTCCTACTCTCTCAATCCGCTTTTTTGGAACATATTTTTTTCAAAGCTATTTCATTCCAAATGAGAATCAAATATATCCGGAGTTAAGAAAAAAAAAAAAGTTATTTTCTTTGTACTCAATTTACCAAATGAGAGTATGGTAAAGTGGGTTTTGTGAACCTCATTTCACAAACCCTACGTTTGATTTCATTTCTGAAATTACTTTGAAACTCACTTTTTTTTTCACTTAAAAATTGGTTTAAACAAACCCATTTTAAAAGGTCAGTTATTTAAACCGGGTTTAAGTTATGTTTCCAAATCCACTATAATCCTTCTATCTTTAAATTCACTTTTCTAAACCCACTTTTACCTACATCTCCAAACTCATTTTATTTAAACTCAAAATCAAATAAGTCCTACATCACAGTTTATGGTGTAATATTAATAATAATATGTGGAAATAAAATTATAATATTTAGTTTGTAAAATTTAATAGCATTTAATTCAATTGTGCTCTTTGATAATCAACTTAATTATGGGTTTAAATTTTGAGAACTCCCTTGCCTTCATTTTTTTTAGGTGATTACATATATCTCAATTTTGTTTTATGGTCTGAAATTATTCCTAAACGAGATATAGTGGCTGTCTCTTTCCAAATGCACATTTTCACATATTCAAATTCATTTCTTTTATATTTGCGCTTTTATATATTCAAATTTAATTTTTTTATGAATATAAAAAT